CATAGTATGACTGTGTCTGGAAATGGGTATAAGATTTCTGTTCATGATGAGCTTCCTGGAAAAATTAAGATTGCAATAAAATAAGTAACAAGCTGAAAAATATCACCAAGACATTGGGTAACATGATGAAGAATTACAAACACAAGTCTGCATTTGGTTGTAAGATGTGTTCATACTTCATGGTGTAATGAAATACCTAAGAAATTTAAAATATAAAATATATGCCCTGATCTCAGGGAATCCTAGAAACTAGTCTTGAGTTAATCACATTTAGAGACTCCAACATGACTCAGAACATCTATAGTGAGATTTGACCATATTCAGGTATTGTGATCCATTTCTTGCCAAAATGGTGCACATTTTGATTCAAATATAAACCTCAATTTCATTGACTTGATCAGAAAAAGTTGTACATGTTTTATTGTCCTAGTTATTTTTAAGGATTAAATGTAAAATTTCTTGTATTTGAGCAGTATTTTATGACTTAATATTCTTCTCAAAGTTATTTCTAAAAGCTTATCACGGATTTCAATGAATTTTGTGTATCCAGATGTGAATTGAAAAGATTGGACCTTGGGGGTTTCTACATCCTCATACTTGAAAATGAGGATGATGAGATGATAACAGTGGCTACAATTAGGTAAGTTTCATCTCTTTTCCTTTTTATATTTTTCATAGAAAATATACAGTTTTGATTGTATCCACTTCTCGAGTAATACTTCAGTCTGCAGTCATGTTTATTTTTTTATGAAGGTATGGACACCTCCCTCAAAATAAATCCAAGCGTAAAGATTAGGCTATTTGTTTATTGACAAATCTCCATTGCAGGGTCCACGGGGAGAAGATATCAGAGCTTCCCTTAGTTGGAACTTCTATAAAGTTCCGGAGACAGGGGATGTGCCATCTTCTCATTGATGGTCTTGAGAAGGTATTCATAGTTTTATTTGAGCTTTTGCTTTACTAGTTGTGCATAGAACTTATTTATATGTTTATATGTTGATGCATTGTTGGATCTTTTTTTGGATCGTTTAGCTAACATATTTTCCATGTCTCTTTTGTTAGCTTTTGGCCAATATTGGTGTTGAGAGGCTGATACTACCCTCTACTTCACAAGCGACGAAAACTTGGGAAACTTCATTTGGATTCAAAGGGGTAGAAGACAATGAAAAGAAAGAACTAATTAAATATGTATTTTTGGATTTTCAAGAAACTACATTGTGTTGGAAGACTTTGAAATGACATACAAATGAAAAAAGTTTAACTATTGTGAATAGATGATGTCATATTATTGTGCATAGATGCTGTCATTTTTTTTGGTTGGTTATGGATGGATTTCATTGGTTCTAGTTTGTTAAAAAAATTGCCAAAAATATTTGTGGTCAACCTAGTACTATCCAGGCAACTAGCCTACTTGGATCCTCTCAATTGTAATGTTTTGCCTTTTTTTTAAACAACCTCTCTTAGTTCTCTGCACATAGACATATAGCTCCTCCCCTTTACTCTCTCTCACTGACTTCTCTATAAATAGGCATGCAGTTCCTCCCCTTCAAATCTCTCTCTCCCAACAAACCTGCAATACGTCGAACCTAAGATCATGTATGCTTTCTTTAATGGGCTTTAGTCAAGGGCTTAGGGATGAATTCATGTTCATGTCATTTAAACCAATTTAAAAGAGATCATGAAATCAAGCATCCCCACTCAAAGCCACCAAGCTTATCCAATAGATTCACCAACTTGCATGAATGTTTAGCTTAAATTTGATGGCAGCTCCCAGAGATATAGGTCCTGTGCAAGGGGTGGCAATGGCCCTAGAACCCGACGACGACCTTGGTCTGCGTATGGCTCCATAAATTGAACCAGCAGGTCGCGTCCAAGTCCATGTGGATCCAACCCGAATAGTGTTATTATTTAAATAATATTAAAGATATAATACAACTATATATTTTAATTATAATATGTAAATAAGGAAAAAATGTATATAATGATGCTACCTTATAATGTAGAACTATAGATGCCCCTCAAAAAATCCATTGGAAAAGTTAGTTTTAATGTTGAAAAACCCTTTGATTGATCATCTCGACATTGAGATGTATGATTATGAAAAATAAAAAGATTTTAAGTCTCAGAAATAGTGCATTTTACAATATATTATCTACACCGTCAATTTACAAGATTTTCATATGTTTATAGATCTACTTGATTTTAACCATTTTTTAAATTTAAAATTTTATAATTAAATATTACATTTATATATTTAACTTAATATTTAAGTATATTTAAATATATTTTTATTTTATTTTTGGGTCGGGTTTGAGTCCCATAATTTTTTTCGGGTTCGGGTCTAGGTCCAGACCTGGACCTTGACTCGGCTAGTTGCCACCTCTTTATGGGTTGCATTGAAATTTCACACCTGACACTAGAGGGAGCATTTAAATACTCTTTATGGTAGTGGGGTTCTAATTATTTTTGTGGAGTCCGGTGGCTAGAGGCTTAATTTTGTACATGATGAATTTCTATTTGTACTTATTACTATGATATTGAATTTATGCTCTAGGGCATTTGCAACACTATGTCTTATGCTCAATTCCTACCAAGAGCAGGGACCATCTCCCCACTAACTTATCCAAAAAAAAAAAAATTATGCTCTAAGGGCCATTTCTTCCATTGATCCCAAGGCACCGCACTTTGCAAGTGCCTCAAAACAAATGATGTTATAAGATTGAGTAGAGTATTGGGTTGGTCCATTTTCTCCATATTTTTTGTATGGATATGGTTTCAATGTGTCCATGTAGAAATAAGTCACCTCTTAAAATCTATTTTTGAGATGGATTTTTTGACCTCAGTTCTAAGGACATGTAATTTCTAACATGGAGATCATGAATATGAATAACTAAATAAATTTTAAAAATGAAAAATAATGATTCTATTACGAAAATATTTGGACCATTAGTTGCAATTGTTTTTAGATGGAACCTATTACATCCATCTTTAAGATGGATACCTTGGGAACCGCAAATGTAAAAATGCATTCCCTCCACATAAAACAAATTTTATTATTATTATTATTATTTTAATTTTTATGAATACCTACTTTCTCTGTGAACAAAGTGCCCTTAGCTTTATTGGAGTATTTTGCATGTATCCTTTTTACTTAAAAACAACGTGTTGGAATATGGAAGTTTTAAAGAGACATGGGTTCGAAATTCTAACTTTCTCTCATCACCCATATAAATTTCAGAGGTGCCTTGATCACATGGGTTCGAAATTCTAGCTTTCTCTCATCACCCATATAAATTTCATAAGTACCTTGATCACAAGGGAGCACCCTAAAGCCTTACAAGATTACCTGGGTGGAGCCACTTTCAAGCATCATCCCCTATACCACTTACCCTCTATTTGTTTGTTGTGTGTTTTTTTGGTTGTTTGAAGGGCTAGGCGAGACATGTGTCATGGGAAAAGATTTGCAGGGCCCATGATGACCTGGTGGGTTACATACTGTAGTTTTCTGGATGAGTTATCAAAAAAGTGTTCTATTTGTTTTTCACGGTGCTGGATCGGCCCAGCTGAAAGAGGTTCAAAAAACTTATGAACTTCTCTTAGTTGATATAAAAGCCAAGCCTTGATTTGACTCGGAATTACCCGGGTTGGGATTGGGAGGTGAGCCATTCAAGTTTGAAGAACTCCAAAATTACCTCGATTCTCCTATTCAAATTTTTTTGCTAAGTCTCTCTCGATTCAACTTAGGAACTGACCAAGTACCTTTTTTTTTTTTTCTTAGGTAGCTCATGGTAGGAACTGAACTGGAGATATAAGTTTGCTACATGTCCCTCCCTATTAATACCATCATAAAAGTAACTCTTAAACTACTTGAAAAAACAGGTAGGGGCCTATCATCCCCGCTGAATTATCCAAAAAAAACTATAGACAACTGAAGCCCAAGCCTGATTCCTAATTTAAGATCTTATTTTGATCTTGAAATTGCTACATATTCATCTATAAATAATAATAATAATATATGACTGGTGATAACGAAACTTTAAACATCACATGTCATGGCACCTACCATCGTGACCACTTCTGTGTATGTATATATATATAGAAAAATGCTGATATTAGCCCACTAATTCATATAAATTGAGGTTGTGACCGTCAGATCGGCTTATATTCAATCCGAACCATTAAGCTCATATGTTCATACGAGCTAGTTGGCAAATCGCGCAAGGACAAGGCCGAGTTATCAATCCGAGGGCAAGGCCGAGTTATTAGTCCGGGACCCTGTGGAATTGGGCAGCACACTGGTCTAAAGCATTAACATAAACGACAAAAACAATGGATTTATTACACATTCGCACCTGCTCTAACGTGGACCATCCATTTGTATGATGATTTGATCTACTGTTTCTTATTTGGAAATTTACGAGAAGGTGAATCTCGATAATTTTTTAAACCTCTGGTCCTTAAAATCTTCCTTGCGACGTTTTGGGTCTTCCATTGACACGGTCAAAATGGACATCACTGTCCAAATGGGTCCTTTTAGGGCTGGCAACATATCGGGCCTAGGCTAGACCAGTCGTAGCCCAACTTCCCATTGGGCCGACACTACGTTTAACTGGACCAAAGAGGCCCATGCTCAGGCTGGGGCCTACTCCTGGTGGGCCTGGTCCAGCCTCGTTCCGGACTTGATCATGCCAAAGAGGCCTTGGCTTAGGCCTAGCCCTAGCGGTGTGGCCATAGCCAGGCTGGGTTAGAAAAAAAATTTAAAGATAAAAATAGTAAAAAAAAGGGGGCCATACTAAACTGGGGCGGCTGTATCATGATCCTGGTTTTACCCGGCCAGGTTAACCGGCCCATTGCCACCCTTAGGCCCATGTACTATAACGGGTTCTTTAAACCATGCACGTTATCTCTACTCATCCCATTCAGAAAGGAAAAGAAAAAGATATGGCACCGTAAAAATGAATGGTCCAAATTAAAATTGCTCCATATTGTATATTTGCAGTCTCTTTCATGCCATTAAATTAGATATTTAAGAACTCTAAAGTTTTTTACTTTTCCTTTATAATTGTCTATTTGTTAGGTCAAAGATGTTCAAAATTTCAGCCTAAAGAAAATCTTTTGTGTTTAGCCAACTACCACCCCAACGGACCACTGCAATGTCCACCCTAGCTCAAGCCTTGGGATCTATTTTTAGGACACGATTTCGATGAGGGCAGCCTAGAAATGCGGGCTTAGCAATAAGTATATTTTTAAATCTAATTTGATCATAATTTTTAGAGAATATATAATCTTTAACAGGGAGATCACGAATATGCGAAAAAAAAATAATTGAAAATTAGAAATAATAATTATAATAAAAAAATATTTAGACGGTTAGGCACATTTGGTTTTAGATGGACCTCCTATTTGCATCCATTTTTAAGATGAATGCTTTATTCCTCTGGATCACATAATGTAGAAATACGGTCCAGCCCGCATGAAACAATTTTCCATATTTTTAAGCCCAACACACTCTCTTGGACCCAATGAACATGCTCATATAATAATAATAATCAAAAGACACTTAGTTTATGACAAATTATGTATTACCCTTTTGGACCACACTTTCTAGCCGCCCCACCCCAACCTCCTACAAATAAAATAATAAAATAAATAAATAAATTATACAACTTATCTATTTACTATTTATTTTTGCAGCCACCTTGTGCTCCCAAAGGAAAAAAAATAGAATTATTAAAAATACCCCACCTGTATATTTAACAGTCTCTTCCTATCCTCTTTTCCATCCCTTCTCTCTCGCTCTCAAGGTTTCAAATTTTGAGATAGTTTCTTTTCTAAACGCTTTTCTCTCTTATCCTCACCCGTGTTCAAGTCTCGCTCTCACTGCCCAACTCCCCTCTCTTTTTTTCTCCCTCTAAAAACTTGTCATGCGTTATATGGTGGGAACTCCAAATGCCAAACCGTATT